GAACATAACATGTTGCGTACATTACATAGAGAACATAACATAGTACATATGTTACAGATTGAATGACGTGGAGTGCCGCAAACCAACCAATACGATAGTGCACCACCGGTGACAAGCCGACATTTTAAAAAATCGCTCAGCGATAGCCAAAGCGCCCAAAAAGAAGATGATTCTATAGGCCAGCCAAAACATGGCTGACAGTTCGATGTGCTATGAAACACCCCTCCCCGATTCTATAAGGTCGCGAATCGGGCTTCTCTGCAATTTCAAAAGCCACCGCAACCTTTCATGAGATCGATAATGACTATGTCACGTCGTGATTCTGGGCTTAAGCGGCCTAATCTGACATAAACCAAATCCGATGCGTCGCGACACAACTCTTCATGTGTTTAGTAGACCTGTAGCTCATTTCAAGAGCAAAGATGTACGCCAGATTTACAAAAGAGAAGATAAGAACTTTCTGATCTCACCGATTACAGATGTGTTGCATATACGGGATCGTTAGCGGCGAAGTCATTTGGTAGTGTTCTTATGTTACAATTTCAGCTGATGTGGAACACAGTAGGCATTCAACGAGAAGGGCGGACTGCCTCATTAATATAGCGGCTTGACAAATCACTTCCCAAAATTGACCAAGTCGCTTACTGCTTGGTTTCGCAAAGTTCAAAGTACGGATGTCGATGTCGAGGCGGGCTCTCTCATCCCCGTTAGTTGCACTCGCGTGGGATGGAGCTTCCGGCAAACTCACGAACCTGGAGCGATACCGGGTGGCACTGAATAGTAGGATACTATCGCGCCGCCACACTCTACCACTTTCCCGGTCAGAGGGTATGCCAAATCATTTGCGCCAAAAAGGCCGGGAGGACTCCCCGGAGTGAAGTTTTGATCTCTCAGAAATTCCAGTAGTGATGGTAGTCTTTTCACTTTGCCAGATACTGATTAGAAGCTTGGTGAGAACTATGAATTAGAAAAAGCTCATTTATCAAGTTTGTTATCAGCTCAGTCCAAGGTGCGTATCACCTTTCACTCGGAGGCGGGCGTGGATCAAAGTAACACGGAGGGTGTTGTGTACGCTCAATCCTCGGACTGGCTTTAATTTACGATGTTTTGTTAGACCGTGTAGCTTGAACAGAAGGCGAAGGTGCTGCATCAGTATTCATCGCGGAACAGAAAAACATTGGTATAAGACTGACAGCGAGTTGTGACCCCGAAGAATTTTCACGTCTTAGTTCGGGAAGTAACGGCATACTTCCTCTGCTGAAGTAGACGTTAATTTTGTATTGTCCTATTGAGAGCGAAGCTCAGATAAATCGTGAAGTGCTATATTTGTACGAAATTGTAGTGCTATGACTCCAAATGGAGAAATCTGAGGGTCGTGACCTCATACGACGCGCTGATAATGGCTTTATTCTTGTAGAAAGGAAACGGATACATCCGGTTCAGCTTATCTCGAGCTATGTTATTTTATTTGAGCAACGGTAAAGTACTGGGTTTGTAACGGAATCCGGATCTGAGCATGGTGTACTCGCTACAGTTCTGTTCTAATGTCATCAGTTCCGAAGTGCAGAGAGCGATGGAACCTCGTAACTGTTTAGCATCACGTAATAGGCTGATTATTTAACGTATTAATTAGATATACTTCTTATCAGTTTAAATTTGACAAAATTTTAATTATGTCATTTTTATAACTACAGAGTTGATCTAAGTACGAAGTAGTTTGAGAAGTTTAGTTCCGTAACTAGACGGACCGTATAAACCCTTCCTCTGTGTCTATCAACTTGAAAAAAAGGTTAATAAGCACTTTTATAGGCTGCATGCAGCTACGTAATTTGAATTGGCTATTGGAATTTCTAAACGCTTTAGATTTTGAAGTTCCATTAAGCGTCTTTGGGGATTTGCTTATCAAACCCTATAAAATTTACTCTTTAATGAATGCAACAATTAGTGCAGTATTTGCTTACAATGGTAGATTACGGAAAGTATAATATTTTTGCTGATTGTTTTGTGCAAATAGCTTATCGTCAAGAAAAGAGCTTTTTTTTCTACAACTCTAGTGTCACGGACTTTCCGTTGACCTGACATTTCACCTTGTGTCCGCTCTTCGTCCGCTTAGTTAAGCGTACCCCTAGTCCTCATAAGAGTACTATGTAAGATAAACAACTTTTGACCCACAATTGAGGGTAATGTAAAAGTTGTCACTCAAGCGGATAGGCTTCCGAAACAATTTTCTCACTCGGCCGCGTTATCGATGCCCGCGAGTATTATAGTCAACAGACCACTTGGCATAATGGCTCTCTCTGTGTTATGCCCATCAGATTTGCATGCACACTGTTTTTGTTGGGTGGCGCGACGAAAACCGTACGTACATATACAAAAATACGTACAGTATTCGTCCAGACGGTGGCGACTTGAGCTCAGCAATTACACGTTGCAGCCAAGTGCCGCTTCGCGGTTGAAAAGGCGACCGGATGTGCTGTAGGGGAGAGAGATGCGAAGGAACGACGACAGGCCAGAGACGTTCCCTCTGCAAACATGTTCGAACGTTGGCACAACTCACTCGAGCACTTAACGACTAGCACACAGTAGCATCTTGGCTAGGACAGACGCGACCGACGGTTATCTTTTCGCTCTATCAGTGCAAGACAGCTTACTCAAATTACTCGTCTAGTCTCATTTATCAACTTTAAATCACTGGACTAAAGTACATGGTCGAGCAGCATTATACATCCGTCATGCGTAGCACAAGCAGCGGCAATTACTATAATGTACCGATATCAGTCGATGCAATGACCAGCTGTGAACTTGCCCCCGACACGGCGTCATTCGAACATAAGACTATGGCCACAGCCTGGGGTACTACGAATATGCGCCGCCTGCTCGTTGAGTCCAAGCGTCGCAATCTCAATGCCGCGTTGGACAGTGTCACACCCTCTAAAGACCCACACACTTTTCGACCGACCTTTGCATTTGACCTCAACATGATCGTGGCTTCGCTCACTAAAGGTTCCGATACCTTAAGCAACAATTCGTCTATTTCATCGCTACGTAGTCAAGTCGAGCCCGTCCCTGAGCCGGAAATCTCGCGAATACCTGTTCCATCTGAAGCTGCAGCACCTCAACAACGCGGGCGGCGAGGAGCACTTTCAGGCGAAGATGAGCTTGCTCGCTCGTATGCGCCGTCCAGTTCTACCACCCCTGAAAATAGCATTATCACATATAGTCTCAACAAGCGAAAACAGAAGCGGTTGGCGGCAAAGGCGTTGGCTGCTGCTTCTTTAAATGGTCCAAACTTTGAGGTGGCCGTTGTAGACGCCGGTAATGAACACCAACCACACTACGCTTCGCGTTATGTACCTAATTACCAGGCAGACGCGACAACGGTCATCGCATCACGCACTCGGGAGCCTTCATTGGATCAGCAGATTTACGCGCTATAAGGCAAGCGGAGCATTTAGTAGAATCCGTCAACTAACTAGTCAGTCCCTAATTATTAATCTATGTTGAGCCGCTGGAAGCTGACTGCCGCGTCTTTGACTACACCTCACGACCAGTTTTGTCTTGTTTTAATGCGGGGTAAAAGATGTCAGGATATGTTCTTGATGATGTGATACTGAATAGGCTCTGCCCAGGACAGTGCTGTATGAAGAGCTTCCTGCGCATCACTTTAACTCGTCTGGTCTATTATTTAGTTCTCCAGCTGAAAAAACGGCCGTTCAAAGCAGAATTAGTGGCAGAGAGAAGTAGAGGGCACGGTCGTCGTTAAGCTACAGATAGATAAATAAACGCAACGTCATGGGCCAAGGGCAAAGCTCAATCCCGACAACAGAAGTAGCGGCACTCGTAGAGCTTTATGATGCGCTAAATGGTGATCGCTGGCGCCGGCGGGACGGCTGGAAACAACCCACGCGCGATCCAGAGCAGTGGTTTGGTGTTGAAGTGGTCATGGGCCACGTCGTGGCTTTGGAATTACCAGCAAACGAGCTTATTGGCTGTCTTCCCACCACCTGTCTAGCACGCCTACCCCAGCTTCGCATTCTTAACTTGTCTAAGAATCTGCTACATGGTGAAATACCGGCCGAACTCGGTACGCTTTTAGCTCTGAAACGTCTGGACCTAAGCTGCAACGATCTCACGGGTGCGATTCCACGCCAGATTGGCGACTGTGTTCAACTACAAGAGCTTAATTTATACCAGAACTCACTTTCTGAGACCATACCGAAGGAGCTGGGAAAGCTGAAGAGCCTGCGGACTTTGCAACTACAGCACAACAACCTAAGCAAGTCTTTACCTCAAACTTTGTGTGAGCTTAAGCAACTTGTCAGATTGAGTGTGCGAGGCAATTGCCTCACAGGACCTATTCCCCCGGACATTGGCCGCTTACAGTCGCTTGTATTCCTTTCGCTGCGCAACAATGAGCTCACAGGTATTATACCACCGTCTCTCGGATTATGCAAGGCCCTCGAGTTTCTTAATCTGTCCAGCAATCAGCTAAGCGGACCCATCCCGTCCACACTAGGTGACTTGGGAAATCTCGAGTATCTCTATCTTTTTGACAATGCATTGGAAGGCCAAGTGCCAGGCAGCATCGCGCGACTTAAGTTTCTAAAAGAATGCGACTTTCGCGACAACCGACTTCGTGGCGAACTTCCAAATTTTCTGGACGGATGCTCAAGTCTTGAGGCTGTCATGACCAAGTGGAAAAACCGTAAGGCAAGCTACCATCATGCTATATTGGGGGATCCTATGCCTTGTCCCGATACACCACCCACGTCATCCCATCAATTCTTACAAACACTTGAAGACCCTCCATATAATTCATCGGCTAATTTTTCGAATCATACTTTTGACCACGAAGGTTTCGAGGAAAGCATAGGCGAGAATGACTTACAAAGTGACAGATTAAAAAATTCTCATCTTGTTGCCGAGCTTGCACGTAAAAAAGGATTTCAGGTCGCGGACGCCTCCACGGTACAGGCAAAATAGTCCATGGGTTTTTTTCTTACGAAAGCTTTTGTGTTCTTGTCTCTTGTGTGCTTTGAAGTGGAAAGTCATTTAATTTTGTTGTCAGCGCTGAGAAATCAACTACATTTTGTTGGATTGCATGCCAACATAAAAAAGGGTAGATAGCAGAATGTGATACAAAGCAAATAGTGTTGCAATAATGATAATGTTCAAAACGCTTCTAAAAAGTGAAGGTGGCTAGTATACTGGTGGCAACGTATATACAAATGTCCTGTATGGTATCTACTCCATCTTTCTCGTAGCTCATCGCAGAGTCGTTGAGTCGGCGACGTTTAAACACGTGCTGATTTTATGCGCGTGCCGATTTACAGATTCATCGCCATCACGTATATTACGTCGAGTTTTTGCTTGCAGTGTGGTTTTGGGAGTTGTTTAAACATTTGTATGACGTTTTGCCGATTTAACGATTCATATAAATGACTGATGTTATTTAAAGACGCACATATAACTTTTATGTCCTATTTCCCGCGATCTAACAAGATGCACTACGCAGCTACTACAATCCGCCGACTATTTCTTCGACCAAGAGTCTATAATCCGATAATTGTGGCCAAAGAACCTAGATATCTCAATGTTTCAGCTGTAAAGTTTCATCGCATAATTTGGCTTTAGAGAAGATAAGCTTGCTCTGAATAATACTTTAATTTCCTCTAGGAGCCGATTTGTGGGTAGCTTCCTGCACGATTGACGTCCTGATGTGTTCTCCGATTTCTTGAAAATAAGTTCCTTAAACCCACTGAACCGTAGTGGAGGAGGGTAACTCCCCATGTTTCGGCGGCATATCCCCAATGACTGCAACAATACGAATCTGGGCCATAATATCAAAGCCGAATATGCTCGACTTGAGTTTCACTATCGCTTTGTTAATCACCACAAACCACAAGGCACACCTTGTTGACTTCACACCTCAACCGTTTCTTGAAAGCTTAGATTGTACATCCACTGACGGGCTCTTTACAAACTTCCACGTGGTTGCTTTCAGTAGTCTCAATCATTCTTTGTCGGCTTCAGCCTCAACGTAGCTCTTCGATGACCGGCACCTTGTGCGAAGACCAAAAAAGCCGATATTGTCAGCGCATCCTACCTTCTTCTGTTTTTAGCCCCGAAGTTAGCACTCGGCTGAATCGCCGTCGCCTTATTCAGCTTTGACATCGAATATAGAAATTTTACATAATCCAGAACGTGTACTGAAAAGATCGAATGTGCAAGTAGTCGTAGCTCTCTCGCTCTCTCATCCACGCGTCCAATAGTTTCTAAGAGTCAATGTCTATACTTCTCTTCGTTGAGAATCTCAAAAGTTTTTGCGCTTGAAACCGCTGACTTTAGACAATTATTGCAATCATAACCTGCTACGAATTACGCTATTTGACTAAATGTTGCAACTTGCTTTCTTCATTTGGTCAATTTACTGGTCTCAATTTGCCCCAATGATGCATCGAAACGATGCGCTAGATGTCCCTCTTGAAGATCGTTTGCGTCAGAAAAAGCAAGGGTTTACTACACATGTTGAAGAGGATACAGAAATTAAAGGCCCAGCGCGTCGTGACAACAAAAATCAGCCATTAGAGTTGAGCTCCAAGCGCGCTGTGGGTCGGTTCCGACAAGTAGTAGAAGTGAAAAAACGAAGAGCATTGGATCCGCGTTTTGAAGCGCAAAGTGGTCGTCTAAATGAAGATCTTTTTCGTAAAAGCTATGCCTTTCTCGACGAATACAAACAACGTGAGCTTCAGGAATTCAAGCAGCAACTTAAGAAGAGCAAGTCTGCTGCAGAGAAGGAAGAGCTCAAAGTTAGTATGATTAACTCTTGGGGTATAGATGATGTATTCACGTTGGTGTTTGGCGACATTTTGTAAATAATGCAGCATGAGATTGCACTAAGACAGCAAGAAATCATGGAAAAGAAAAAGCAGGAGAAGATTAAGAGCGCACTAGCAAAGCGGAAGCATGAGGAGCGCGACGCTGTCGCTAAAGGCAAGGGGGCTTTCTATCTTAAGGTTTGTAAAATCAACTATGCCAGCTAAAGCGAGCACTTTAATTTACTGTGTGGCTTAATGTGCAGCGAATCGACAAAAAGAAGCTAGAGCTACGTACCAAGTTTGAAGACTTGCAAGAATCCGGAAGACTGTCCAAATTTATGGCCAAGAAGCGCAAAAAAAATGCCAACAAGGACCACCGATGGTTACCCACACAACGAAAATAAATGTGCTTCTACCACTAAAGTTAGCAATCGCAATAGATTACCATGTGTTGGGCTGCTTTTGATGTCAAGCGATCTGCATCTCGTTTTAATCTACTTCTTTCTTCAACACTAGCTTTCAACTTTAGGAACAATAGGAAAGAAGACTTGCAATTAAATACGTTACTGATCAGGCATTGTCCCTTACTGCAATGCTCAAAGCAAGCAAAAGGAGTTTGCTGACTCTGCACAGCTAACGAATCCGGCTTCTGACATCTGATCATTTCAGACGGGGTATCTACTTTTTGGAAAGGCACTGCGAACAAAATGGAAAACTATGATCTTACAAATCTAAGAGACTGTGGAACACATGCATTGTTGACAGCTAGCTTTTCAGGCTAACAAAAAGCTAGGCTATTTGACAGCTAGCTTTTCAGGCTAACAAAAAGCTAGGCTATTTGACAGCTAAGCTAGAAAAAGCTAAGCTATTTACTGTTAGCTTTTGCTTGTTAGCTTAGCCTGAATATGGTCAAGCTACCAAGGCTAGTAGCTTAAATATCTTCAATGCTATTTATAGATTTATGAAGCTACAGGGGTCGAATATATATTTCTGTTTTTTTTAATTCAGCCACCTTAAAATTATTTGCGACATGGTTGACTTGCGACAAAATGAATCCCGCCCCGCCTAC